GGTATATATAGGATGGTCACAGCATGACGGAACAACAGTGTAATGAGTAATTGAACGTATGCGGACAAAATATTGTTGGCCACGTGAGATATAGCGTTTGTTATAGTGCGACTGTTGAAATTAAGTGTTTCGTAAAGTTGTATTCGGAAAGAATAAACCAGTTTTATTTAAGAAAGGACTTGTATCGCTAAAGTTTCGTAGGAACGAATTTACGGAAAATTAACTAACGAACGGAGACGTGACAATACAATAACAATTATGCTACATAGAACAAAAAGGATGGTGACAACAATTATGCTTCTCTTTTACATTAGTAGCGTTAATAATATCTCTTTAGATTTGATAAACCATACAGGATGTGTGCAGAGAAAGCTATGTTGTGTCAGTGAGGTCACGTGACTAGTATCACGCCACCTCTTTCTAGAAATATCCTGTTCCTTCATGAATGCCCAAGCGTTTACTAGTTATGTGTTAGTCTTGTATATATATAAGACGGTCACAACGTGACGAGGCAATGAGTAATTGAACTGCAGTCAGAGTATGTGTAATTGAACTGAGTATTGTTGAAGTCGAGCACGTGAGACATTCGTTGAGGATTATAGCGTTTGTTATAGCGCGACTGTTGAACTTAAATGTATCGTAAAGTTGTATTCGGAAAGAATAAACCAGTTTTATTTAAGAAAGGACTTGTGTGGCTAAAGTTTCGTCGGAACGAATTTACGGAAAAAATTAACTAACGAACGGAGACGTAACAGATATTTGAGTTTCAAGTGTTTCACGCTACTTCGTTGTTGTGTGTTGATCTTGTTTTATACACATGAACACTTGCGTAAAATTATCTAAGAAGTGAGCCTGAGGTGATGAGATCGAATTTAACATTTCTTGTTCTACCATGATAAATGTCGAAAGGATAGTAAGTGCTACATTTTGATCATCAGGTGGAATAAAAAAATCTTATAATCATTCAAAACATACACAGACAGATATAAAGCTAATGATATTCAGCAATTGTACTCTTTGTCGTGTCTTATAGTTCTACTATTTTAGGTGTTTAAATAGCGTGAAAAACAACAGTTGGAGATTTTATTACATGATGAAAAATGATATATAGATAATTCAACTTTAATGGTTTTAAACACAAAAATACTCTTTAACTTTAGTTAAACCGCAGATAAAGACCGAACTTAGAAGTACACTTAACTTCAAACATTTTCCGATTTTATGTTTGGCATTATCTTGTAATCAGTAAATTGTTTTAGTATATCTACTTAGCCCACCAAAACAAGAACAACTTCGTGTTTTAATTATATCAAAAACAATTTGTTGGATAACCGATTTACTCGATCGGATCGTACGATGTCTACTATATAATATTATTGCGCATGCTTTTTAGCCTTTATTATACTAGTTTCCGGCATCGCCATTTTGGCGGAAACAAGTGAAGGTGCGTAGTTAAAAAAAAAAAAAAAGAAAGAAAAGAAAAGAAAGAAAGAAAAAGTGTGCGTAGTTAGTGAAACTGGAGGCCAGAATGCCTTTAGCACAACTCGCGGGAGATCCATGGAAATCGGTGAAGCAAGAAGCTGAGGTAAAAGTGCGTTTTCTCTGATAAATAAATATTCCAGTTTAGAGAAAAACAAACAAGACATGTCTTACGTCAGAATATAAACATTATACCATTGGTATATGACTGTGGTGGTGCTTCGACCACTTGTCATCCGTATGTTACTACAAGCTAACAAAGTACAGTGCTATGTATAATGTAATACTATTACTAATACTATTGTCAAGACTGTCTTAAGGGCCTTAATTATATTCATAACAAACAGTTATGCTTATCTAAGTTAAAGTTACAATACTTGTTATGGGGTGACTGATAATAGATCTAGGGCAATACATATCATCTAAAGTAAAGTAATTAATATTAATTCATATAATAACTGTAACTCAATGTCAGTATGATGAGAAAATTACATTTGTAATATTTTAGGGCATTTAAGTTTAAGCCAGCCATAATCTGCTAAATCATCAAATGTTACATTTATTGGTGCTAAGAGTAATAGTTATTATTAAGAGACAGGTACATTTAACTTGAGAATAATTATTATACACAGCTTAATCAATTATTAATAGATATCAACCCAAGTGGTAAGTCTTGCAAATTTAATTCTGAATCTAGCTAACTAATATTTATTCAAAATATTTTTCATGTGTAGAACAAAAATAAAATGATTTACCAGCTTAAAACTAAAAGATTTCAATATTCCCATGATTCCTGTACTTAATACCTTGTTCAAATACACACTGACACAGTCATTTACTCAAAATTGTAGTGGCTGTATGCTCAGTAATACTAGTTCTGGTATTTTTTTTTCTAGTACAACTGAATACACTTTTCAATTTTCTATATTTTCACATAGTAATTACAGTTCTAGAGATGAAAAATTAAATGACATGATCAATTTACATACCTATTTTATATGATTATTTTTTAAATATCAACTTCACAAAAAAAGCCTGTTGAATGTGTTTAAGTCTTTATATGAATAGATGTTATAATCAAATCAACATAGTTTGAGTTTTTAAATCCTTAATGTGAATAGACTGGGGCATAATATTTCAGTATCTTACAATATAGTTTCAATTGTTTAGTTAATTTTATTGCCTGTAATGTATCTCAAAAATTTATTTTCTTTGTAATGACTGGTGAAGAAATGTCTGTAAATGCCTACATTTTTATATCCAAAATACTTTTTCATTATAATGCAATGTTTTTACATATGTATTAATAACTGCAACATATATCCAAAATAAAGTTTTGCATGTAGTAATATACATATATATGTAATGTATGCAGAATATTAAGAATGTTAAGAAATTTGCCAATGCTGAGACTTCAACCTGAGACCCTTTGGTTTATATTAGTGAACTGGGGCAGATGTTCCACTCACTGAACTAAGAGGACTAAGTCCCAAGTAGATAACTCCTTAACCCTGACTATTAAACATTAGAGTATTCCAAACATTCAAACCAAACACATTTGTCCTTGAGCCCAAAACACTTCATGTTCAAACCAAGAATGTGTACAGATGGTTTGACATACCACCTACCCAGTTCAGTTGCTTATGAGGGGTTGAAAGAATGACTAATTAAGTACCAATATGATAATGAAGATGTTAAGAAACCTACCATGAAACAGACTTAAACCTAGGACCCTTGGTTTATACACTAGTGCTCTATTACTATATCAACTAGTCTACCAAAGCTCAAGTCTTAAGCAGATAAACCCATCTAGATTTCTGACAGTTATAATGTGTTTATGACTAAAACAAGTAGCTTCATTATGGAAGTACAGGTAAACCTTGTGCAGTAAATTTTAACATATGTATATAAATTATTGTAATTTAAGAAATTACATAAATAAGTTTTTTATTCAAGTCCACTGTTTTATGCTGTTTATGTACAAGTGTGTTTCAATGAGAGAATAAGAACAGTCATAGAGATGACTGTTGTGGAAGAAATGTGTATGTTTGCAAACTATGAACAAGATATTTTTGAGCTGACTTAAGAAGTAAGCTAATTTACATTTTTATAAGCTTTAGAAATTCATTTCAAAGGTAACAGAGATGACTTTAACTGGATCATTGAAAACAAAAATTGTTGTTTTAATTAAATAATTCTATAAATGTTGATGAGAAAAACAAAAGTGAAGTAGTCTTATTGAACAGTGCTTATTCCAGTTTAGGGTATAAGTGATATACATTTAAAATGATAAAAACCCTATAACGTGAGCACTTTTGAAAGGTGGACCTTTCTTCTTCAAAAGTGCTCGGGTTGTAGGTTTTTTTATCATTTTATATTAAGACTTTTTGAACATGTGTGTTTTTCTGACATCAAGAGTGATGTACATTTGTAAGTACCCAAGTATTTAAATAATGTTAGTTACCAAAAGGATATTAGAGTTATAAAGAGTATATGAATAAAGATACCTAAGAAACTTATAGGGTATCAATGTAGAATATTTTTGGAGTAAAAATTTAAATGCTATAAACCATTTTTTTGCCCCTTCCTGTGATTAATTTGTAGTATCATGTTTGGAGCTCTACTCTTTCTGTTGAAAGTATCTTGACTTCACAGAGTCATTGTTAAAAGGTCACAGAAAAGGTTAATCAGCAGTTATATTCTTATGAATGTTGGAATTAAGAAACAGAAAATTTGCATTAGGATAGAAAGCAGAGATAGTGGGCACTTTATGATCAGAAGAGTTTTATAGAGTCAGTCCATCATGAGTCTATTTTGGGATTTTGTTGCTCATCTCGTGTTTTAACAATTTGGATAATATCTTTAATAATACTAACTCCAAATTTACATATGATAATGAGATGCTGAAAAGGCTGATACTGTTAATTATATTTTTCTTACTTAAAAATACCTGGTTGGACTAGGATATAGAAAACATGTTTTAATATTAAAAAGTGTATTGTGGTAGACTACTAGACTTGATCAATGAAAACTTTGAAAGGACTGTTGGTTGAGAAGAACATTGGTAATGTGGAAAAACAAAGAGAAGGACTTAGGTGTGATTGTTGATAAAAGCTTAAAACCTTCTGCTAAGTGTTTAGTTGTGGTAATAAAAAGAGCTAATAACATGCTGGCATCTTTATTTCTAGAAATGCTTAACTTAAGAGTAAGAAGGGTATTGTAATGTTGTATTAAACTGAAATGAGCATCATTTGGAGTACAAATAGGTGTATTAAGTGCAATTTTGGTTTTCTTGTTTTGGGTAGGATATCATCATTTTGGAAAGGGTTTAGAAATAGACTGCTGGAATAAAACAAACACATGATATAATAACTTGAAACCTATGAAGAGAAGCTTAAAGATTTGGACTTTTTTTGAAGCACAGAAGGACAACAGATGTTTTGATTCAAATTTTTTGAATCTTTAAGGGAGGGGGGTATTTTATTTATGTTGTGGAATCAAAAGGATGTAAAGGCAAACTTGGATATTAGATATTATATGCTCAAGTTTTAAAGGCCTAGATCCAGGAATATTATCCAGTCAAATTATTCCTAATACTACAGAAAATGTTGGGTGTTACTATAGCATGTGGTCTACAAAGATATTTACACTATTGTGTGCGATCTACACAGATACTATCATCATCACCATTTTAACTTTTGTTAATTTGCAATTGGTGCCATTTGTTATAAATAATGCTTTTAAACTAATAAGATACAATATACCATTACATAACATTTTGGGGGCAAATACAATCAGAGTGAAATAAATTCCAACAGTCAAATCTAGCACAATTATAACCTAAATTTAAGGTACTCTTTTGGAACACACAACTGAACAAAAACATGGGGTAGATATAAATTATTTAGCAAGAGATTGTGTTAGCAAATCATTAAAACTGTGATGATGATAATATTTGTGTAGACCATAAGCTATAGTAGCACCAAATGTTGATCATATAACTTTTTTGGGGGTAGTTTCAAGTTTCTGTAAAGTCTCCTAAAAACCTTCAATCCTAAAGATCATCAATAATTTTAATTTATCCTCTAATCATATAAAGTTAAAGAAACCAAAAATTGTTCTTCTCTGTGAGTGGCAGAAGAACGTAGCTCATCTCACTACTTATGGACATCTAAGAAACATTTGTATGATCAATTTTTAAAACACTTTTAAAATATACTAAATTACATTTGCTGCTATTAACAAAATTTCAGATGTATTGTAGGTACTTTCACATGAGAAAAACTTTCCGAATTATTCAAGAAAAGGGAATTTATTTAGATCCACATAGGAGTTACATCTATATGTTAGTTTAATAAATATCTCCTCTTGAGTCCAAGAATAGGTAAAGTTCCAATAACTTGTCTGAGGCTAGAAGGTTTGAATGTATTTTCTGACTTAGAATTATATACATGCTTCAAAAAAGTGGTTTCTTACTTGCCATGATCTGACCAAAAAAAATACCGTTATAGTTATTAACTGGCTCTATTTCTATCACAACCCGATAAATATATCTTTCATACCCTATAAAGCAAAATAAGGCAATGACATTCATAATAAAGTGTTTTATTTCACTTTCCTGGATAAAATTGATCATCAAAAAATTTTGTCACAACAACTATAGGCCTTTTGTAAGTAAAGCATGTCTTTTATATTTATTTCAAATTTTTAATACTCTACATTTATAGTGTTTTATGATGGATGAATTAGAGTTGATTTAAAACTTATTTCTTATCCTAAAATTTTAGAAAAACATTAATTTTACCATTTCAATTTTGACAGAACATATTGATTACATACTTCCTGCAATTATTTTTAACATGCTAACCTATTGGACAAACTTTGATAACTTACTAACTAGTACATTTGTTGAATACTTTGCAATTTTAAAAATTAAACAAAAAAATAGCTTAAAAGTACTATTTAGTGATTTGACTTAATTTATAGAAACCAAATTAGTTGTTGAAAGATGAGATTTTTTCAACACTTACAAGATTTTATATTAATTAAACAACATTTTGTCATTTTTGCTCAATTCTTGAAATGTTGAAAAGTATTATTCTTTCAGTGGTGATTCATTTCAGTCATTCTTAACATAATGTATCACATACTTTGCAGTAAAATATGAAAATATTACCAGAGCCTTTAATTTTTTCATGTTTACTAGTTTTTGTATGCTATACATACATACCTCAATTTATTAATAACTAGTATAAAATACCCATGCTTCGCTGAGGGATTCTAAGGTCCCCTCATGATTCACAGAGGCCTTATTGTACCAGTCAATCGTCTCCATTATCTTAATTACTTCTATAGCTACCCCAATGTGCCAATTCTTTAACTGATTTGTCTGTTGCCATTTCTCAAACTTAATTCGACTCTTTTTTTTTAATTCTCAGATTTGTATTTTTCTTCCCATGTTTGTGTTCAAAACGATATTACATATTATTCATTCAGTAAGTGAGAATTAGAAAAGATATGATACATTTCTATAGACCTTAATGAATCAGAATTATGGGGATTAAGGGCTATAGGGCAAAAAAAAATTGGCTAATTTTTTTTAACCAAATTTAAAAAGTAATACACACCTTTAGTATGCATGTAAACTTTCAGGTCTCTAGGTTCACACCCATACAGACAACTCTTTTATTATTATAGATGAAACTTCTTTTTAAATCACATGTGGACTTGGGCAGTCCTATTGACAACTTTTCCCTGCTAGACACAGAGCTTTCAGGCTAGGTAATGACAATACAATTAGGATCAATAAGCTTATTTCTTGAACATGTGCATAATGCAATAGTAATTATACATCTCTGTTTGTCACCACTGGAGGTAACAATACAAGTTAAACAATATATTTATTTATGAATGGTGTATGCATTGTTTATAAATGAAAAGACATACCATGCCCATCTGTAAGTGAAGAAAATGTGATTTAAACAAGAATATTTCACACATTTTGGTTGCACTTTTACACTTAGCACTTAGTCCATCCTGTGTCTCCTGACACATTGGGTTGTCCATTGACGATACTTTCTTCCATCCAGTGCCATATTTTCCCATCTGATAGTTCTTTATATTTATACATCCTCCTCATTATTGGTAACAACATCTAGACACAGGTTCCCAGCTAACCAATGCATTCACAACTTTTTTTTTTCATCAATTCCTACACCATTATCATGCACTTCACTCCTCCCCAGAGTATATGAATGTTTTATCTTCTATTCTAATTTTATCATTTCCTGTCCATCTTCTTTCACAAAGTCCCAAGATGTGCAATCCATATTCATCCATTTCCTTGATGACATTTGCCAGTTTACTAACACCGCATAAGCCCAAATAAACTGTATATAAATGGGTTACCCATGTAAATGGTTAAAAAAACTGAAATAATATATAATGACTAATTCAACAAAAATGTATTTCTTACAAATCAGTTTTACATGGCAACATTATTTCAGTTGTGCAAAATTTGCTAGGAGCCCTAATATTTATCATAATCTGAGGATAAACTGGTCAGACTGCAACAGGTAAGGTATCACTTTTTGAAATCAACATGTAGTTTTATGTCAGACACCTTTTGGCCTCTTATGGAAGAATAAACTTGTACCTTGCTAATTCTGCAAAAAACCTTGTTCACATATTTCAGCAAACAGCACTAGCCAAGTCATGAGTCACACACACACACAAAACCTTAAAAAACCCAACAACAACATAAAAAGGACAGTGAAGAATATGTATGGATGTAGCCTACACAAGGGAAAATTTGAAAAAAAAAAATCAAGTTGAACCCCAACTAAAAGAAAACTACATCTTAAGATACAGTATATTGTATTAAGTTATGCCTGTTAGTTTTCTGTAATTATTCTCTAGTCTCATTAATTTCATTTTTATCTATCTGTCACAAAAAACTAGTTAATTTATATTGTACATGACTATCTTTCTTAATATTAACTGGTATCTCTTAGAAAACTGCTCATGCATCTTTATTTTTAAAAAGTTTCAGTATATTACTAGTGATTTACTTGGATAATTCTAAAAATATTTATTTCTATAAGGTTTGAAAAGTGTAAAAGATTTAAGAGTGAGACATGGTTTTTTGAAATATCTAAGAACTACAGGTTAAGGGCTGTAAAGTTAAGCTGTCAAAGGGAGATCTGTTTGAGTGATAGAATGATAAGGTTGGAGATAGGGTTATATATTATATTAGGGTTAAAATTATACCCTTTGGAAATGTGTATCTAGAATTGGCCAGAATTTCTTTGTTGTTGGGGTAATAAACTTGTGGAATAGTTTACTTTATATGTGAAGTATGCTGATTTTATAAATGTTTATGGATAAATGAATAGAGTTAGTTAATTTGGGTTAATGATGATATTGGTGGTTTATAGAGTTTAAGGGTTAACTTGATGGCCTGATCAGGCATCTGCTACTTTGCTTGTTCTTACTTAAGTTTATAATTTATTGAAGCACCTTGAATATTTTTATTCTCAGGTGACTTGATTGTCATTTTTTACTTGAATAGGTTGATTTCATAATTTTATGTCCTGCCATTCATATACATTTTGTAACTGCTAATTACTGAGTGTAGAATACATGTTGGGAGATTTTATATTTTTAATGTTTGTGCTGTTCTTTTAATGTAAAATGAACTATCAAAGACTGCAAACTTTTTAAAGCATTGATAAAATCTCCATGAATGTTAGAAAGAAGGAAATTCTAAAAAAAAATTGGGTATAACAACTTTGTTGCTACTGCTGGAGTTTCCAAACTGCAAAATTGGATCAAAATATAAAAATGATAGAAATTGTTATTGTACAAAAAAACTTGTTTTTCTTAGTTTGAATACAACAGATGAGAAGAGAATAATATACCAAAGAGACTCAGCTTGCATGAATGTAAAAGATAACCAAGAATAGGCTTGTTAGTCAAGCATAAACTTAAAAATAAAAAGGGCAAATTTTATTTTATAATTGATATGTAAAGTACACACAATAATAAATTGCAAAGGAAGAACACCAGTTTTTTGATAACCTTATTGAGGATACACAACTCCTCATATAACCACCTATGTAACATTTTTGTTTTACCCATTGTGGGCAAATAATCCATTGTGTAGCTTTGTGTTTAATGACAACCAAACAAATTACCTAATTTTTAACTAAGCTTTTCCATTAATAGATTGTTGAACATCTAACAGTTAATTCAACAGTTTATGACTCTTATTTCAGGCTATTAATGCTGATGGCATGACTGTGGAATTACCAAGTGACCCCCTTCAACAGGTAAGACTGTCTGTTGTTATTTAAATCTAAGATATATATATCTGTGTGGTTTAGTGAAAGCATTCTGGCCAGTTAGTAAAATGTTGTGTTAAAATGTTTTATGTAGAGAAAAACACAGAGCAACTTTATAGATGTAACACAAAAAATTTAGCATATAATGGAAATATTACAGTTTTGTGTACATTAAGCACAAATGCAAATTATTTATTGTTAAGAAAGTGACTGTAAGCGCAACTTTTTTCGGGGGAGATACTAAAATAACTGAACACTATGTATATGAAAGTGTGTAGAATCTTATTATAAAATGTTGTTGTACTGATATGATCACTGTATATCCTGTTTGTTTTTTGGCATTAAGCTCATGCAAACTTCCTGAAAGTATTCATCAAAGTGTACAAGGATGACTAAAAACTGGATTTTCCTGTTCTCTGAAATAAGGAAATATTATGTAGTATTACAATTACACAAGTATCCAATGCAGTTTGGAACCTAGAATTTTGGATGTATGTGTGCTGGTGGCTAAAATCTTAATGCTGATTGGCCAAGTTAATGTATCTGAATCAATCAGAACTGTGCAGAAGGATGTCTGTGCACTTTATATATTTGTATAATCATGTTATTTTTTGTTTAGTGATGTAAATAATAGCAAAAACTGGGGAAAAGCAAAATAGTGTGATCTTAAAACAGTGTGAGTAACTAAACAAACTGGATAAATTTTGTTTTTTAAAGTTTTATTTTATTTAAAGCAAACTGTCAAAATGTTAATAGGTCAACAAACCTTTACATATGTTTATCTATCTTTTATAATGAAAAGGTTTGTATTAAAGTTGAATTTATTAGATTCAACGTTTCTCATGAAGTTGTTATATAATTACTTACAGTATTATACTAAGTGTAACACATAGTTTACTGTTTTAAAAAATCACTTTATTCACTTGTGTTTCACTATGGTTTTTATATTTTTGTCCAGCAGGCATGTGTATTATTATTGAATGAAAAGTGGTTTAATATTTTGAGGCAAAACTAAATTAAGTTTTAATTTTGATCCTGACTTTACAACTCTGAGTTTCAACATATTATTACTTTGTAAAAATTGCAATACAACATTGCTATCATTTGCAATGCTCACTACCCTTCAGTGTCAGAGTAGTTCACTGTCATTAGCTGTCATAATATTGGGACATTTGTATGGTGAAGGATGATGACATTACAAATGGAAAGATTAATGGTATGCGCAACAGTTTTTTTAGGTACTAATATATTTCATGTTGGAGGTATCAAGGTAGGGTCAGTTGAAGAACCAGAAAAAGAATGTTAATTTTGTTACACTTAGACATGTTATAGGTGAGAATTGGTCTAATATGCTCTCCTGTGAGCCAACTTTATTGTTATATATCAACAGTGGTTTTATACTCCTATCTGTAATGAGGTGTATTGTTATGGATGAGAAGTGGTTTTAATATTCTTCCCTAGAACATAGGTATATTGTTATAAATGAACAGTGATCTTACTTTCTTAGTTGTATATTGTTGTAGATGAGAAATGCTTTAATATTGATCTATAATGACTAGGTGTATTTTGATAGTTCAGTAGTAGTTTTGAAATTTCTGTTTTTCTTTGTGCTGTGATAAACTGTAGTTATGATAGACATGTCCTTTCACCAGTAATGTTGTTACAGATGACCAGTGGTTTAAATATTCTAGTGATTTTGATACTTGTTCAAATATAATATTTTACATCTACTCTTTTGAAGCTAATATTTTTAGTTTTAGACTATTCCTCTTTTTACCAACCACTTTTTTCAGTCATGTGATCTTGTACAACACTTATTTTTGTAAGAAGTTTGAAATGTTTTGTCCTGTGTTTTCTATTGTTACAATCTCAAAGTCAATCACTTCGTGTTATTGTGCAACTTTTACATAAATTCCACATTTTACTTATCCATCCTTATGTTGGTATATTTTCTTTTGGCTTTAATGTGTTTGGGTTTAATTTGTAGAATTACTTCTCTGCTTTCATGTCCAAGGTTTAAATCCTCCCATATTATTAGCTTCAAAAGCTGTTTTATCCCATTTCTCCAGGCTGTATGTTAAGATGATGGTAATTCCAAATATTATATGTATAGCTGATATAGGTGTTGATGATTGTTGGTTTCACTCACCACAGGATTTTATGTGTACCTAAGGGAGTTCTCATGTTATTACACTCTATTAAACTTTTGTGTCATGTTTGTGTCACTTCCTTAATACACACAATGTTTACTTTCATCTAAAGACTGTTTCCTGTCATAATTTTTTTTATCTGTAACAGTAAAAAAACATTAGAGATGTTGCTTTGACTACTTAGAGGAAATAAGCTTTTGGATTTTGTGCTCTGTCTTCTGTCCAAAATTATTTTTGCCTCTGTATACCTACCAGTTTGTCACTATTTTTCATTCTTGTGTTCTTTGCTTGGAAACAACATACAACTAACTCCCAGATAGTTCCACTCTTGATTGTGATAACTTTATTCTTGATATACAAGTGATTTCCTGAAAGTTCCACTTTTGACATGCAAGTAAATCTTCAGTAGCTCTATTTTTGACTATGATTTCAGTTGGTCTAGTCATTATTGTTTCATCTTTTTATGTTGCTTCATATATTTTACAATATTCCACTATGATGAACAGTAATTTTACTACTTTCACATTGTCTTGTATGTGCTGTTCTGGTTCTTACAAGCTGCTTAATGTGCTCTACTTGTCTACTGATGATTTAACTTGGTTTTCACTAGCAATTATGCTATTTGCAGTCTTTGTTACTTGATTATTGAATTTTCCTTCTATTGGATTTGACTGATGTGAAAGTATATTTTAATTGTTATGTAATGGGTTGAGTTACTTCTTCATATCATTTACATTGCTACTAGTTTATCCTTCAATAGTAAGATTAGCAATAATGGTAACAATTTCTGCAATCCTCGAAGCCTTTGTTTAATATTCCCAGATATCGTATTTTTTAACTGTTGTGTAATGCTTTATGTTTGACATTAGATACACTTAATTTATCATAGATGCTTTGCTAATAGGAGTTCTTTGAACAAGAAGTACTGTGAATATGGTGAGTCAGCTTTACCTTGCTTTGTTGTTTTGTCTACCTCTGCTTTTAGGTAATGGGTCAGTATTTACACCATTTGTATTTTATTTTACTTGAAATATGTTATCTGGCTGTATTTTACTAGTGGCTACTGATAAAGTAGGTACATATACAGCTTTAGAATTAAAGCCTTTTATGTACATATACAACCAGGATCAGCTCAAGGCAGGTTCGAAGGGCTTAAAGAACCCACTGCAAAATTTTAGGGGTGCAAAAATTGTAAAACATTAGAAAAAATACTAACAAGCAAAGAGAAAAGGATATATGTAGTGAAAGTTTGTGTGTAGAACGTAAATGAATATCGCAGCGAATACTGGAAAATTCAACTATTGATAAAGTCTTATTTTATATACTTGAAAATCAAATCCAAGAAATTTTTTCAAATACATGTATTGCTCTAAGAATTTTATTAACTTTGCCTGTTAGTGTGGTAAGTGGTAAAAGATTATTTTGGAGACTAAATTTGATAAAAAGATTTTTGCATTCTACAGTGGGACAAGAGAGAGAGAGAGATTAAAAATTCCATTTTCGAAAGACTAATTTTTTATACATATTTTTCTATTACGTACCATTTTTGTACTCTGTATTCTGAATTTTAAAAAATTGCTTAAAATTTTTTAATGTACACAAAAATAAACAAAAAAACTGAAAATTTGAAAAGGGCTCAATTTTTTTTTTATTTCACATACTTCAGTTTTTGAACTTAGCCAACACTGCATACAACCTCAGAACTAAAACCTTGTTAATTTAGTACTGTGGGAATTTTTAAGTGTAATTACTAAAGTGTTGTGGGTGCATGTACAGTGGAATTTTCAACTTTAGTACTAGAGCTTTATAGATAAGCATACAAAAGGATTTTCAACCAGGATATGAAATATTTGTATGTAAATTTGCAAAAGAAAGTTAACCTGAAATTTATCAATTTCTTTTTATTTTATAGATTTTCTTTTCTTGGAAATACTGGTCTTTATATTTTTAACCTGTGTTGTTTATTTTAATAGTGCTGTGTCTTTTATTTTCAGAATGACCATGTAATGGAAGAAGCAGAAACCATGGAAGAAGTTCATGAAATTGAACTGACCAATATAACAAAAGAGGGTCATCCGAAAGGTGACCCTGGACAGTTCAAACTCTTAAAAGTGTTAGGTCAGGGGTCATTTGGAAAGGTGTGTTTGGGATCTCCACTGTTGCTATCTTAATGTTTTCTGTAAAAATAAACTATTGCTGGTCAGTTTTTCATTACATTTCACAAGATTATTTGTTTTACTGAATATGATGCACACTTGGAGAATTAACTTTACATGATGCTGTGTTAATTTACTTATTTTGATATTTGAAAAACCATCTCAAGAACTAATAATCCACTTGAAACAATTTACATTCTCAAGCAGTTACTATCTTTTATAAAATACAAGCAGAAGTACCAGTCCCCAGTGATGGGAAAAGTTTAAGTTAATCTATCAACTTAAATTATTTCATGGATTTTAAAAAGGTTAATTGTGTTGCACTCTTGGTTTCACTCGGAGCCAAAGCTCTGAGCTACTTATATCGCCCACCATGAAAAGTAATTGTTGAGCATTTTAGTCATGCTAAGAGCCGCTCAACAATAATGTACGGTAAATCTACATTTGTATTCTGTAAGTTATGTCACATTTTGAAATGTGTATGGTAGTGTGATTAATTTCTAACAGTTTAGAGTAGAATATCCTGCTTGCAAAAGAAAATTTGGCATCGATGTTATTCATGCCTGTTCTCCTGTCATTTTAAAAATGAATACTTAGCTTCTCAAGCAAGAGACAGGTGAGTGCTTAGACAGACACCATGGTTTGCAATATATATATATATAAGATTAAAGAATTTATTGTTAGACAACAGTAGAGGGTGTCACATATTCTATAAAACCTGGAAAATACTCTCTTGTATATATATATATATATACCGTTTACTGTTGGTGTGGTTCATATAATACGTAATATTGAGGCATTTTATGTTTTCCTTATTACAACATTCATTATGTTGACTGAGAATTGTTGAAGTCACTTATTTCTTATGCCAAATTCATAAATATAAATGTAGCAATAATTAGAGAAATTAACTGCAACATTGTTGGTATTTTTGTTTTGTACCTCGTATTTTATTAGGAGCCCTGTAATCAATAAAGTCATGGACTCAAGAGCAATTTGGTACATAAATTGTTTTACAGAAAAATATGTTTATAAAGCTTGTGGAGTGTAACACAGAGAAACTTGTAAAATAAGTATATTAATTCTCAGCACACATTAAAGAAAGAAGTAGACATAGATTTGAAAGGTTAACCAGTATGTTCATCTAGAAGACAGTCACATCATCAAGGTAAAACCAAGTTTTGGACTTTTTGCAAATTGAGGACAAAAAAATGTATGTTTGTTTGTTGTCAAGTGCAGAGCTACACAATGGACTATCTGTGCTGTGCCCACCATGAACATCAAAACCCGGTTTTTAGTGGTGTGAGCCCCAGACTTATCATTGAACCATTGAGAGTTGAAATTATAAGCATAATGAATGTGTAAAATGGTCAAAATATGTTTTAATCAATAATAAAAAATTACAGTGTTATATCAACTAGCAGAAATACCTGCCTCTGTCAGGTATAACTGCTAGTTCCTGCGGAAGGCTATTGGGTTGCGGCCTTTTCTGGAATTGTCTGACAGCTCTAAAACAATGTACTCATACTTGACATTCATTAATGTTCACTGTCCATGACAAAAAGGATTTTATTGAAATATTAGTTTAAAATTGAGCTATCATCACATCATTACATCACAGAATAGATTTTATTGAAATATTTCTTTCTAGATGCAGTTATCAAAGAAAGTGCCTTGATTTTCTGTTGCAACACTCATGAGATTTTCACTAAAGAAAAACAAATACTTTTTTTAAGTTTGTTTTTGATTGTTTTATATATGAAACTTACTCCTTTTTTGTAATTTTTATTGGTTAAATCTGAAACATATAATTTATATGGAAATTTCAATTGTTTTATTTATTGCTCAGCTATAAAAATACTGCCCAGTTATAAAAATATTACCCAGTTATGATTGGTGATGATTGATGCAGTAGTTTCCGAAACCCGAGTTTTGGATTTATACATCGCTAGCTCCATTATGATATGATTGCCATATATGATTTATAAAGTAAAAATGCTAGTGATATATTAAAGATAAAATAAAATTTGGCATCAACATCATTAATACCTGTTCTCTCATCATTTCAAAAGTGAATGTTGAGCTTTGTCTGTGTGCGCAGCTTTTCAAACACAGTATGGGAAGCAGCAGCCTTAAACAGGAAACACCACAGTTCATAGTGTATATAAGATTACAAAACTGGATCCAAGACAAAATTCTTTAATCCTCTCTGGACAGCAGAGCACCTTTCAGGTATTGAGTGTTATCAGGTTTCAAAATTTGAGTAATAAAAATAATTATAGTTCTGTTTCAACTATTTTTAACTCAAGATTACTTTAGAAAGGATATATTATGAATTTGTAAATTTGCAAAAAAAGAGTAAGTTCCAATTTGTTATGATGTGAATGTCTTAAAAGTATGATATAATTGATTATATTTGTCAAAAGACATCATGTTGGGCCTATTATATATTTAAAACTACATTCCTAACGTAGGTCTTAACAATGTCTTGTGACAAATACAATTAATTCAATTTCCAATTTTCATTTCTGCTTACCTCTAAACAATCCAGTTATCAATTTTTATGGATTTTTTTAAGTCCTTTTAAATCATTAATAAAGTAACTTAAGATAATTTAGGTGTGTGAATGATGTTATAACTTGTGCCTAAATCTTTATTTCATATTATATCAAATCAACTATATAATGATTATTCACTTATACTAGCAGAAAAAAGAAACCGCGCATCACTTAAAATATGAAAAAAATAAAGAAAAATCAAACAAATCTAATTTCAATTTTCCAGTATTGTTAACAAATTCATTAGTTACAAATATTCGTAGTCAATTAATGATAACGTCACCAAACGTAATTTTTCGGGCACTTGAAAGACGCTGGTATTCAAAAGGACGTTTTGGTCTGATGTTGTGTTCATGCAGACGGTTATGCACTGTTCTGGGACTAATCGTTCGAAGACCAGGAATGCTGTGAGCAGTCAAACTTGCAGTCTGGAAACGATTTCTAAGATGAACCAGTCTAATATGGTTGTCCTGTTGATGTGACATTACACGAGGACGTCCTGAACGTGGTCGATCTTGGACATTTCCTGATTATTGGAACTGTTGCCATAAAGAGTGGATAGTGTTCTGATGGACTCCAAAACGTCTTGCAACAATGTTCTGTGCCACACCAGCCTGCAGCATTCCGACTGCACGAATATGTTCATCTTCACTGAGCCTTGGCATCACAGAAGGGTAGTTCTCGGTGAAACAAAAAGTATTTCCCAAATGACTGGAGCCTGAATAAACGTTTTACACCTGTTTATTCAGAAAACATTGTCAAAGAAAAATCGTGGGTGCAAAATTTGAATAAACAAAAAGGGGTTCACGAACCATGAAAAATCCCATGCAACCGAGTTGAGTATTACCCGATATGTTCAACGACATATCCTGTATTGATTTTTTTATATGTCATAACACTAAACCTAATTTATATGAATGCTATTCCATTTTAAGTCCTGCACAGTTTCTTTTTTCCGCTAGTATATATATTTGTTACAGATTTCTTTTCTTTCTCACCAAAGATAAAACAGTCTTAGATCCTTACTTTTTGAATAATATTGTTAAGTTTTATGATATTCAAACAACACACACATAAATAAAGTTTTATTTATTGCAAATGAACTATATTTATTAAGTATAAATTTATTTTCAGCAAGAACATTTTCACAAAAGATGTTATGTAGTCTGACAAAAGTAATTGTGCTATCATTTTTATAAGTCAGGTCCTAGGTTACTGATAAATATTTGACAGTTTTTGATGGTTTTTATGAGGTTTTACCACAAATGGTGACTGTGGTATAGTGAGGGTCTGATGCACCCAGGGGCAAAGGATCCAAAGTGCCCCCTCCCCCCACTTGATAAATCTGAGAAAAATAAAACAAAGAATGTTTTGAAATGACCAACACTAACAACTTACATCTCCACTTTTCTTGCCTTTTTTGTGCAAACTCATCTATGATGCCATCTCTGTCAATGCTTTCTAGGATTTCCTTTTTACACTAAGTACTGTCAGTACTACCAGGTTACAAAGATTATCTTGAGACATAGAGGCCCTCAGGTAAGTAAGAATGAGCTTTAGCTCGCTGAATGACCTCTCAATCTTGCACTAGACACACTGACTGTCATCAGTATTTGCAGTGCTACCCTGAGATGTGTTTTCTCCATAAGACAGCTGAAAGAAATTTAAATTTTTAGACAAAAGGAAGAATTTTTAAAGTTTCATCAAAACAGTGTCTTGCAACAAAATATAGGAAATGTAACAACCTAAAAATGAAAGCAAAACTAAATTAAATTATATGAATTTTTCTAAGTGTAAACTAGATACTATTTATTATAGTCGGTTATATTTTCCTAAAACAATACTGTTAGGCTTATTGTATTTCTCAACACTACATGCTGTTTTCTGTTCCATTTTTTATTCTAACAAAGAGCTCATATAAAAGCTAAGAAATTTTAACTATTACAAGATATCATGTAAGGTAAGTTAGGCTTAGTGAGTGCAGAAGGATACAACTGCTATATATGTTGTATTCCAAATGGCTTGATAGCTCAATTATTAAGGAAAGTGCTTTGCTGGCATTGGATATGTTGTACATGGTGTGCTTCAAATATTGTTAGACACTTCTGCTCAGAAAAACCCTAAATGGACTGAATAAAGAATGTATTGTTCAAATATACAATAAGCTTAAAACAGTTGTCTTGTGACATATATAGTGAATACTATTTAGTAAGTTTGTACTGAGTTTCGGATACTTTGTTAAGTACTTCACTATGAAAAGAAAAACAATCAATGATATTGGTAACGTCCTTCTGGTTTGGAAAGGGTTAATTCTTTCATTGCATTGTTTACAGAAGAACAATTCTGAGTGACAGGTTTATACATAGATACACAATCAAAAGCAAGAAGACATAGTTTTAATATTTGTTACTTATCTGAAACTTGATAAAATATGAGGAGTTTAAAAGGGAATACTCTTAGTTCACAGTAGTACAAAATTCCAAGCTCGCATTCCAGTGCTCTCAAGGGAAACATGTATGTGTCCATGGCAGTGAAAGGGTTAAAAAGACCCCACTTCTTAACAGCATACTGTTCATGGGTAGACCATCTGGTAAAGAATGTTATTTGATATTATTGAAATAAGCAGTATTAATATCAACCTTGTAAAAATTCTGAAAGCAAAATTTTTTTTTACTTCCCCATTTGTTCCCATGAACATATTAAATTCAAGTTTCTGTTCAGAGAACTCATAAACTTATAAACACACCCAGTGAAATCTTAACTATATATTCTGCCTAATATTTCACATCACTGTTTCTGTAGATTGCTTCAAAGCAATTGGGATCTCATCATTTTAATTAATGATAAGATTGATATAAAATCTTGAAAACAAGGTAAAGAAAAATGGAACTTGGGAGAATAAAACATGGACTTTTCCATATTTGGAAGCATTCTGTTAAGTATTGCTTCTTTAATACAATAATGTTTAAGTTAAAAAATACATTTGGAGTATAATATCAATTTAAACTGAATTGGAGGGTAACTATGACCAGTAAAAAAAGTCAATTTATTCAGACAAAAAAATATTATAGCATGACGTACACGTTATCTGTGACTGGCACCTATGTCACTTCTTTAAGTTTTGGGGTTTATAATTTGTCATGTGAAATCAGCCTTTTAAATTTGAATTAAGTTTTTTTCTTTCTCAAACTGATATCTCTTATTGCTAGCATTTACATGAAGAAGGTAATGCATTACTTGTAGCAGAGATTATGTACAAAGCTTTTAATGCTGAAGTCTGAATCAATTGTTTCAAACCAGTTCTGGTGTTAATTTGTGACAAAAAGGCAAGACTAGTGTTAGAAACTTTTACTGGGACCGAGGAATTTAAAAATTGTAGAAAAAGAGAACTTTATTTTTTAAAGTAAGTGGAACAAGTACCAAAATTAGATACTTTATTAAAATTATCATAAACAAAGGTTTAGTACAATTATAAGGTTGCTTAAAAATTTTAAATCTGCTAATTTTTATTTTTCAACCTGTTATATTATTCAAGTTAGATTATCAAATATTTTATAATTAAAAGAAAAATTATTTCAATTACCTAATAGTGATTATCATACATCAGTATTTTTAATTCTCTGGCATGGTTTTTAGAACTTGGGCTTGCCCTTTTTCCATAGCAACTATATAAAATGAGTATTACATTGTATTCCAGAAACACTTATTTTTCCACCATAGTTATCAGTGCATGTATTTTTAGCAGTAAGAAGTAATATTGGTCTATTAATCATTCAATTACAAGTAAACATTTTATAAGTAATTAATATTTTCATATATATGATATAACCAGCTGGGTACTATAGTCATGAGCAGTATCATCTTTTATTAGCCCAAAGTCAATAATAGTGATTTTAATATAGCAAAGCTTAATATATATTTAAAGTGGAAAAGTATGATTGTTTTAGTTTTTGATTGCATATCTAATTTTCACTACAGATTGGTGTTTGAAGATGAAACTTTTCAGTAAGATTTACATGTACAACCCAAGGTTTCATCGCTGTCAGTTTTATAAGTTAAAATGTAAAACTCATAGTTGAAAAGGCCTTATTAGCATTAGATCTTATCAGAAAGCTTGACATTGTCAACTGGTCCTTATAAAGGATAAAGTACAAAGATGAATATCTAAGACAGAACTAATGCAAGCAATAAATTAATTATAAAAAGTAGATTGATCAGTAATATGTGGTAAGGAAATTACCAATAAACCTGTTGGTAGTCATATTCCAATTAAACTAAGTGATGGTCAGAGACATGGGAATATCTCCCCCTTGAATGGAAATTGCGTTTTTTTTATTTGCAAAATTTTTACATGATATGATAAATATTTTTAATTGCCTATATCTTTTCTGAGAATATCTTAAATACAGTTGTCACCTTTTGCCTCTAAGTAAATACGTTGTTTCAATACTGCATGTTGTATTATTTTTTTCAAAAGCAGAATATCTCTATTAATGTATATGTTTTCCTTTTGATCTTTGATCTTTTAGACTCCTAAGAAGGAAATATTTAAATATGCCCATATCATATACTAAAATTGCCATTTATTTGTTTTTTCAATCTAGGTTTTTTTAGTTAAGAAAATTGTTGGTCCAGATGCTGGAATATTGTATGCTATGAAAGTTCTAAAGAAAGCAACCCTAAAAGGTAAGAGTTAACATACCAGCTACCTTATAACCTTAAAAAAGTACAAACTAACTCTCTTGTTTCTCTGAAAAAGTAATATTCTTAAAACCCAAAAGATAAGAATAAACTCCATGTTATCGTATTGTAGCCCTAAAACGTGAAATGGTTCCATTCTTATGCACACATATGAGCTATATTGTACTCTTTCTGGCTCCTATGCATTGAAAGATGGGGTGAGTTAGAATTTAACATCTAATATAAATGTTTGTTTAAGTGGCTGATTATAAGAGACAAAATAATGTGAAGGCTTGAAAATAAGTTTGTAAAAATCATTAATTACAAAATGTACAAATGAGAGGAAATATGGATCTGTTTTCAGTTAATGCAGTACATTTTAAAAAAAGTAAATGTTTACTAAACTTTATTTTTTTCAGTAAGGGACCGAATGAGGACAAAAATGGAGAGAGACATTCTGGCTGACGTACGACATCCATTTATAGTTAAACTTCATTATGGTATAAATTCTTGGCTTTTTGTTTTTATCTTTGAGATTGTTAGAGAAAAAGTTTTTTTTCTTACCTGAAAAGGTTTTAAGAGATTTCATTTTCTTGTTTTTAAGTTTGTTTGATCTTTTTGTTAATAAGAAACACCTTTCAACTTAGGAAAAAGTAATTTCAACTTGCAACTCCATCAGGATGCATTACAATACAAAAACTGTGAACCAAGTTTTTTAAGTTTTGAAAAACTAACTACTTTTTTTATGATATGTACATGTGTGAAAAACATGGCTGAGAAAATACGTTATTTTTGTTTGTGGTTAAATTTTACTTTTTTGGCTGGGTGTCATTAAATATATCTCAAAGAAGCCAGAGAGCTCTATGAAGGCCTCCAATTCATAAAACTTGCGTAAAACAATATTATAAAATCCAATATTTGAATGTTATCTCTGTATAATAAATTTGATGTTCTCAATTTTCAGTCAGTTTGATTGTGTTTGGCATATTCTAAACGTTTTCCAGGTCTACACAAAATTTCTTGTGCAGTTTGTAAAAGAGCAATTTTCAGAACCAGTAACTATTGTTTGAAATTACCTTGTGTTAGTTATTTAACTATTGTCAATTGTGAAATATGTGATGAATTTCTAATAGCTGGGGATAAAATATTTTTTGTAATACAGACACTTGTGGGAATGTTATTCTTATTTAGATCACCACTTGTCATTGAGTCAGACCTTCCTTTGCTACATAATTGGCTATATGGTAATAAATAAATCTATACATATATTCATATACATAAACATGAAGTAATGTGTGTGTTTGTACCGTAATTTGTAAAAGATGTAAATAATAGCTTAGCTTGTCTGAGTTTGTGAATTTTGTATATGTAGTATTAAGTGATAACATGTAGTACTGTAAATCTCATTAAAGAAATAATTTCTTCAAAGTTACCCACTTTCTTACAATGTAGCTTTCCAAACAGAAGGAAAACTTTACCTAATTTTAGACTTCCTTAAAGGAGGGGATTTGTTCACCAGATTAAGCAAGGAGGTAAGTTGTAGTGTAAGCTCTGTTATTGGTTCAGTGAATTAGATGAGGGTGTAAGTGAAACTATTGGGCATTGTGATTTGTTGACCAAGTTAAAGAAGAGGGTTATTGATTATATTTTCCTTCATGGTTTGTTTACCAGAATTAGTTTTGAATTAAGTGGGAGTCTTAGACTTTGCAATTGGTTTACCTGAGAATTGTACAAGTAACTGAAGGTTTCTGTATTCTTATGTCATTGGGATCAACTTGTAGAAATGTTGGTGTGGTTGATAGTGTCAAATCGTTACAGTTTATTTAAGCATTATTAATTGCTTATTATTCTTTCACTAGTCACTAGTTTTTCATAATGGCCAAGTGTGGCCTAGTAATTAACATTCTGTTACTACATAAAAGATAAAAACAAAGTGCTCCACACTTTGAACCTGTGGGTATAACTATGACAGTCAAATACTGCTATGCTGTCTGATGAGTAGCCCAAGAGTTGACAGTAGGTAGTATTGACTAGCTGCCTTCTCCTATATCACTTCAAAATTAAGGACAGCTAATATAGATATCCCTCATGTAATTTTGCATAAAATTCAAAAAAACAATTTTATTATAATGCATCATGAACGAAATAAGTCAAACACCTTGTTTCAGTTGGTTTTATTACTGTTTCTATAAGTGTGTATAACAAAAATGTTTTAAAGTTGGATGAACACTAATGAGTATTAAACAGAAGCAGTTTTGGTAAGATATTCATAATGTATTTTTGATCGAGTAGCAACAGTTTTATTTTTATATCTTGATCTGTAAGCACAAGGAAGCTGAAAAATTGTTGCCTGATGATCATGTCAGGTTAACAATAACAAAATGTCATGTGTCACATAGGATTTGTTTGCAACACCTAGTAGTGTCAATTTTCTTTTATACTTTCTACTAGGTTCTCATTTCATGTAATATTCTGTATATGAATATATAAAGTGTATATCTGTGATGAATACTTTTAGAACACAGTTTAATAAAGTGATGGGAAAAATGGAACTGGTGAAAAAGTTATAGAAATATGAGCTTAACAGGATAGATGTATATTTTCTGTGCATAAGAAAATAAAACTTCGTACATATAATGGACACATGATATGTATTATAAGTAAAATTACTATATTTATATATCAGTGATCTATTTTAGGAGAGATTTTTATGTACATCATCAGGGCTAATATACAGCCAGTAGATATTAGAAAGAAAAATGTTATTTTGAAACAAGCAATAATATTAATTAAAAAAACGGCAAATGTTTCATACTGTGTAATAGAATAAACATCCAGAAATTTATATAACTGTACTGAGAAGGAGAAGAAATTGTTATTTCATGTTAAATGTTTCATCTTAGGTCGAATTGTAAAGAAAATAATGTTACTAAAGATGACAAGAACATATGTAAAAAACTCAAATACTATTTGCAGTTTAAAATATTTGTAACTGATTGAAAACAAACATTTTGTTTATTTTTACAAACTATTTTTTATATTTATTTTATTTTTTTATGTTCATCTTTAGATGCTTGGTAAATCAGACTTTTTTTATTACAGTGAGTCAGGGCTGTGATTTGAGTGTCACACTTTTTAGTGTTAAAATTAATGCTATCACTTCTCACCATCCTCCAACTGTTGCAAATGGGTGCTATGTTGATGACTTCCACATTTCATGTCAGTCATCGAACATGAGGTTTAATGAGCGGCAGCTTCAGACTGCCTTCAATCACTTGTTGACATGGACCACTGCAAACAGTTTTATATTTTCCTTTTTCAAAACCATTTGCATGCATTTTTGCCACCAGTGGGGTGTCCAACCCGATCCCGAGCTCCATTTCGGTGATGTTGTTATTCGTGTGGTCCCCGAGGTAAAGTTCTTGGGGCTTATCTTTGACCGTAAGCTTCTCTTCATTCCACACATCAAGCAGCTATGTGTCAACTGCACAAGGGCTCTGAACATCCTCCATGTCCTCTCTTGGGGAGTGGATCGATGCTCTATGCTCAGGATCTATTGTGCCCTGATTCAATCCAAACTTGACCATGGGCCTTTGGTCTATGGTTCTGCCAGGACCTCGCCCTTGAAGATGCTGGACCCCGTTCACCATCTGGGGCTTCGGCTCTGCACCGGAGCTTTTCACACTTCTCCAGTCCAGAGTTTCTACACTGAGTTCCTCGAACCTCCTCTTCACCTCCATTGTTTGCAACTTTCTCTACAATATGCTGAACATCTTTCAAGCCATTCTTCTCTTCCTATTTACACGGATGGTTCAAAATTCGGTGACTCTGTAGGCTCAGCCATGGTTTGCTGTGGCTCAGTAGTTGCTTGCATGATCCCCTCTACAGGTTCTGACTTTACTGTCGAGTTGTATGCTATTTCTCTTGCCCTGGATTATGTAGAAGCTATGCAGTACAGTGATTGTATTATTTACACTGATTCTCTTAGCTCTCAACTGGCCCTGGAATTGCTTAACGTTAGTTTTTCACCCTGTTCTCGTCGATATTCAACAAGGACTGGCCCATTTTTCTTTATCTTCTGTTTCCATCCAGTTGTTTGGGATACCTGGCCATGTCGGTATTCACTAGAATGAGCTCGCTGACACTGCAGCTAAGTCCATTTGCTATAGAGCCATCACGGCCATACCTGTCCCATACATGAACTAGGTCCTGTCTTCAAGGTGCAGCTTCATGTTTAACAACCTTTTCAGATTAAACCTTCTGTTGCTCTTTGGCCGTCTTGCTTCCGTAAGGATCGGAAGGAGGAAGTTGTCCTGGCAAGGCTACACATTGGTCACAGTTTTTTAACTCATCGTTTTCTTTTATCTGGGATTGACCCACTGATGTGTAGCCTTTGTGACACTCAAGTCACAATAGCACACATTTTACTGTTGTGCCGTTGTTACAACCATGAGCGGCGGCACCATTTTAGACACGTGTTTAGTAAGAGTTTACCTCTGATGTTGGACAATGTCATTGGCAGTGATGACACTGTTCAACTTGATTGTGTTCTTAATTTTTTAAGAACAATTGGCCTTTTTAATTGTATATAAATCTTTTATCCGAATTTTGGACATATTTTGGTTTTAACTCGCTGTGTTTTTACATTTTACTACAATTTTTTTTTACAGTTTTTACTGGTTGTTTGGTGCAGATAGCCTAGTTGCTTTGTGCCATAAAACACTAAACAACCAACCAACCAAACACTGGCCCCCTTATCCTACTTCCATGTCTGAATGCTACATGCTACATTAGGGGCATAGGCTTTATGTTCTCTGTATCATTTTTCTCTAAAGAAATGTATTTTTTTCTTTTTCCCTGTGTTCACTGTCATTCAGATACCTATCCTATCGATGCTTTCTGTACTCTCTTTCACCATACTTATTTACTCCTCTACCCAGATCAGGCCTTTATTTCTAAGACTTCAGCAGCTTAGGAAAGTGATTGTTCTTTATCTCCTTTCAGTTTCTCACTTTTATGGTCATTTGGACCTGGATCGTTTTCTATGTCCATTTTAGCTAGTTGGGTGTTACTTAGCATATACACCTTTTTTCAGGGTTCCTGTCAACATTTTGTTTCTGTCTTGGGACCTCTCATCCTCTACCCTTATTGGATGGTTCTGCTAACTCGTCCAATTGGTGTATTCTACCCTGGATATTGATGCTTGCAGGCTTTTTTACATTTTGTTGTGTTAGGTTTTTATAGGGCCATGATTCTTTACAGTAGGTGTCTGTGACTTGTTGGTGATAAATTTGAACAATAAATGGACAGCACACAGTCCACTTGTTATAAGATAATATATTCAGAACAAGTCAAACATATATACAAATATTTGTCACACTGTTAATCACCACAGTTGTATCCAGAGCTTTAAATGATTATCTTTTTATGTCAAAAGTCCAGTTACATTAGAACCCACTTGATGAGATGAATTATTCTTTGCTACTCTGTTATTAGAATACAATCTGCAATTATTACCTTTTAATAGTTACCACTATACATTCTTTATGGCTAAACTCATGATTACCCAGTCTATATCTGTCTCTGTCTTTTTCCTTTCACTTTCACTAACTTACTTACTTGCACTAACTTAGTTGTCTAGATATATGTATATTGTCTGACTGAGGCCTAGAACTTTCTACAAACTGTGAGACATTATGATGTAACAATACTCACTTAAAGTAATGAGAAAAATTCAGAAGGTTCGAGCAATGTGACGTCACTTCACAACAATTGAACTACACAACTTACCATAACTATCACTTCAAAAAATAACTTTAACGTTCACATTATATGAACAAAATAATACTCTCTTATTAAACTTAAAATTAACAGTCATGTATATCTAACACATTGCATCAGGTTTGTCACTTGTTTTGCTCTCTTGCATCTCATTTTTGCTGACCCTTGGACAAGATTCTTCAGACTTGCATGTGAACAAACCTACACACATTTGTCTCTCATTATCTTCATCATCTGACTGTTTCATTTCTTGCAGGATTTTAATTCTCTCTGGTCACTTTTCTTCAATCTACATACTATCTTTTATATGGTATGTAGTACAGCACAATACAGTGGAAAGATGGCAGTGGTGGCATTGTCTGTGTAATGCAGGTTATTCCTATAAACAGCTTGTGTGCCCTCCTTCTGTAACAGGACAGGTTTGTCATCCTCATTTCTGCCTGTTCATTTGAGTCTACATCAGACATACACTGTACTGTCTAATCATACTCTTACAACGCTACACTTCTTGGCTCAATGATCACTTGTGTGCAGATGCTTGATCAGTCATGCAAAAATTCTGGCCATCTCTCTGACACTTGGAGCTCTTTTGTGTTTCTCTCTCTTTCCTTCTGGGAGAAGAGTTTTCTCTGATCAAAACAAGGTGTGATCTCCCATGGGTGTGCCCCTATGGAGCTCCTGTCATTGGGTGTAACACTCCATGGGCTTTTCTTTCAGGCACTTTCTGAAGGGAATTCATTTAATTTTAAAGTTTGTACTGGCCCCTTCATCATTTCATTGTGGGGTTCTAGCTATTCTGTGTGACGAAGTGAGGTATCCTCTCAGAAGTTAACATTTTCCTTTCCTGAATATCTATTTCATAGATACCTTCACACACCTTCTTACCTGTCCTCACCATTTTTGATGTGATTTCTCCTTGCCTTGTCTAAGAATAAAGTTATTTCAAGCACAGTGCTTAGGAAGAGCTACTGCACAAGGAGATTGTGTTGTCCTCCTATTGGTGGAGAGTTATCATCACATGATGATGTCATTATGCACTAACGCAGTTCACGTTAAACACATGCTTTTTAGGTGGAAGTTAGCTCTAGGCTAATGGTATGCAAGTCTCATAGGCAAATGCACAAGGGATCAAGCTATTCTTTGTGCAGAGGTGAGTATCTGTTGGAAACATATTTTCAGGTAAGGAAAACGTTGACTTCTTTTTTCCGGTCCTCTTTGTTGAGACGTGTTTTTTTTCTGAAGAATTATAGGCATTTTTGTGTTTATTATTTTAAACTCTTCTTACCATTTGCAGTGTAGCCTTTTATTCTTCAATTTTCTGGATAATGAGAAAGAAAGAAAGAGACCAAATTACCATCAATTTGATTTTTTGTTTTAATCAAATCAGTAAATTTGGGATATGTGTCCCATAGTCCATGATAAGGTTTTTTTGACAGTACTAGTTCGCACTGTTTTAATCTATTGTATGAATTTCCTTAAGTGCTCTTCAGTATCACCATTGGGCCAATGACCTTGGTCTATGCACTATTGATATACCAGGATAATTCATATTTCTAAGTTGGTTTTATGGATCATCTGGATTACATAATCATATTTCCACATTTCTGACATCTGAGGTTCTGACAGGAGTTATTTAATATTGTAATAATAACTTGAAGCACTCCGTTGGTCAGTGATGTTACCTTCATTGTGCACCAGGTTGTTGATTCCATTCTGATTTGGTATCTAGAGTTCCCAAGCTTCTACTTCTGTTACTTTCATGAATTTCATCCATGTTGTTTCCATGCCTGCTTTTGCTTCTAGTTCTGTCTTTCCCACAAGGATCAGGTAAATTCTACCTTTATCCTTCACAGCATGAATTGCACAGATATATGTCTTTTGTTTTCTCATGACAATGAGAAGTGAGTAATTAACTATCTGAAATACATTTTCAAGTAAAGAAAATGTTAATATCCAATGACAGCAAATTCAGTTTAGTTCTGCATTAGGTTAATACAAAAACATATAACAAATTTGTAAATTTTTTATATAGTATTTTTAACTAAGTACAGTGATTCTTTAATGTCAAACAAAAGACAATATTAGTATCAGTACAAAGTTAACAAATTTGAAGAAAATAACAGAAAAGTTGTAGGTCTTACAGGAGGTAAAACAAGGATTTATGGTAATTTATCATTGTAATCTTGTTTCTTTCTTAAATATGTTTATGATTTTTTATATGTATTTTCTTATTTAAAAGAATTATGGTTGGTTATGTGTAAAAATGTGTTTTCTTGTACTGAAAATCACAAAATGTGAATTACTGTTAATGGTTGCTTGTTGGTGGTGCAATTTTTCGTTATACAGTTACACATCATAAGCAATATATATCTTTCAGGTGATGTTTACTGAAGAAGATGTGAAATTTTATCTAGCAGAATTGGCCTTAGCTCTAGATCACCTTCACAATATAGGAATAATATACAGAGACCTCAAGCCAGAGAAGTAAGATGTCTTTCAGTTCTTGATTCTTGTAAAGTTCAGTTTGACATGGCCTGGGAGTAAGGACACTTCACTCGCAGTCTGTGGGTTGGGGGATTGACACCCTTCACTGAACAAGCTTGCCTCTTGAGACAAGGGTACATTATATTGTGACAGTCAATCCCTCTATTTGTTGCTAAAGGAGCAGCATAAGAGTTGGCATGGGTGGTGTTGACTATCTGTTTTTTCTCTAGTCTGTCACTTCAAACTTTTGACTTGGTATCACACAGACTATGTACTATGCTACAATAAGTAGTAAGTATTTTTCAGATTTACTTGTATCCATAGGCAGACACCCCTCACTTTATTTTTCTTTGGGATATAGTATACACAAAACATTCACAATAATTAAGTTGCACATTATTCCCCCCCCCTCCCACATTTTGGTCCCAAATACAACATATACTTGTACCCGTTTAATGTATACAAGGATCTTAAGATATTGTGTGTAAATTGAAAGTAATTAATATGCTTTCAATATACTGCAGTCTAACAAATTTGCAATATCTTATGCTGAGATTAAAATGTAGTTTATATTTGTTTTATGTATGAAAAATGTGAAATATATTTTTATAAATTATAAAGTAGTTTCATTTTCTCCATAATTATATCTGACCAATTTAACAATATTGTATTTCCAAGTCTCTGAACTATAATTTATTTTTACTTTTTGTATGCTTGATCTGACTTATTTTTTTAATTCATGTAGTACTTTATGTTACTTTCTTAAACTTGGATATGATAAATGTAACTTTTAACTTTTCAACAGTAATATGTATTACTTTCTGTAAGCTTTAGTCTGAAAGATTTGTTTTTTTTCTCAGTATTCTGCTGGATACAGATGGTCATATTAGTCTGACAGATTTTGGTCTAAGTAAGGAAGCCTTAAATGACCAGAAAGCTTATTCCTTCTGTGGAACAGTGGAATATATGGCTCCAGAAGTTATAAATCGTAAAGGTCATACAACAGCAGCTGACTGGTGGTCATTTGGAGTCCTAATGGTCAGTATATTGATCAAAGTATCTTTAAAAAAGGAAGTACTTTATTTTGTTTATTTTCACTTTATAAATGCTATTTTGTACTCAAAATAAAATATATTTGCACACTTTTTTGTCACTTTTGTAATATTATATGCTGATACTGAGTGTTGAAAAAAGTACATGTAGAAGTGAGTAGAAAGTTCATACTACACTACATATAATAGATATAAAATATTTCTGGTTAAGCTTTCCATTAGTCTATTGTCATAAGAAAGAAGATACTCATGATTTGAGCACTAGATAATACACATAAAGTAAGTTTGATAGATGTAAAAGGTCAGATAATTAATATCTTAAACCAAATAATTATCTGAAATTTGATAGTAAGAACTCAACAACCTTTTATGATTAGGATGACGTATGGAAACATAATTTTTTTAAAATTATTACCGTAGTTTGAGATGCTGACAGGAGCCTTACCATTCCAAGGAGCAAACAGAAAGGAAACAATGATGCAGATTCTCAAGTGAGTGTGTGTTTATTGCTTAGTATTCTCACAAAGTTATTAGTTAATAGTAGAACTCTCTTGCTTCAGGTAGACCAAAGTGCTTATGCCACAACTTTTTTTCAGAGTTACAATCAAAAGTTAATTAAGCTATTTTATTATTAATGTATACAAATTTGGCATCAAAACATATTTAATAAATCAAATTTCCGGAAAGGTACTTCCCTCCGCTCACAAGATTTGGTATTCTCATCCAGTGCTGCCCTCTATATGCAATTTTTTCATTACACATGCCACAACCAAATAGAAAAATAGAGGAGGTTCTTATTTGATATTCTAGCTTGTCAATGTCTGTAATTTGAGTTCCTAATTCGTGAGAAACTATAGACTTTGTACTTGGACATCACAAACATCTAATTTGAACCAATGCTGCATTCAACATACCATGTGACACACAAAAATATATGGTTTCTTTTTTAATATTTACTTTTAAATTAATAAATTAACTAATGAATCATACTAAAAATTAAATTATAATCTACAATTTGATACCAAACTTACTGATGTACACACCGTGGTCACAAGTAAATAGACACCACCTTTTTAGAAAAAATTAAAATTTTCAGTCATATTCACATGAATTGATATATTTATAATTTAATTAATATCTGGTAGATCTTCCTTTCGCTTTGTGGAGTTCGATGATCCTTTGGGGAATCGTGAAAATCATCTCGTCAATTTTAGATTGTGGGATTTTCGCCCACTCTTGCTTCAAAACTTGCAGTAGATCGCTCTTCGAAGTTGGTTTTTTTGGTTGTTTCTTGACTTGCTGGTCAAGTATGGCCCAGAGGTTTTCGATGGGGTTCATGTCAGGAGATTGGCTCGGCCAGGGCAACTTCTGGATAACATTTTTTTTCCTGCCACTTTTGGGTGTTTCTAGCAGTGTGACATGGTGCTTCATCTTCCTGGAACAACGTTGTATTCTTGTCCACGAAACCTGAGGAATAAAGTGGCAAGAGTCCTTCCTCCAATATTTCGACGTATTTTGCAAAATTTATGTTGCCAACGCACTTCACTTAGCTCAATCTCC